CTTTCCGAGAGATTTCTCTTCCTCAGATTCCAGGTCTCTCTAGAGTGCCTCACTCACACTTCCTCTTCTCTGTCCTGAGTGCACACTGGTTTGGCCTTCAAAGGAAGTGTAGTTTGTGTGACCCTGACTGTCCTGAGCTGTCAGGACAGGGTCAGCTCTTGCCCAGTCTCTAACACTGACTTCCAAACAGACCCACCCTGGCCTCCGCCCAGCTGATCCACTTCTTCTGGACACTCGAGTCTGTGCTGAGCTATCGGGCCACCATCCTAAAGACCTTCAAGGAGATGGGCCGATTCACTGTGAACAAGGAGACGCTTTCCACCAAAGATGTGCTGGTGCTCCTGCATAAGTGGAGCCTCATTGAAAGAGACACGACGCTCCAGGGAGCCCTGAAGGCCGTCATTGAGCAGCACCAAGTCAAGGACCTAATGAGTGAGTTCTAGACCTCCTCACCGCCCGCCCTCAGCAGCCACAGCTCAGAGCTGGTGCGCACGGAGGCCGGAGTGGGGCACGGAGGCCGGAGTGGGTCCTGGCTCTGAACTTCAGCCCCAGTGCCTGGTGGCCTTTCTGACCTTAGATATGTCAGTACCCAAGTGTGTCAGCTTTGTGTCACTGTGACAAAATACCTAAGATAGAAAGAGACCTGGGGTCAGACACACCTTCAGAGGTACACTGCCAGTGACCTACTCTCCAGTGTTTCCACATCTCCCATAGCCTGTTAAGCTGTGAGTGCATAAATGTTTTAATCCTTTCACCCACAAGATCAGGACCTTCCTGAACCATTCACGTCCACACTGCCGCATTGGGAGTAAGCCTAAGACACCAAGGCTTTGGGGATGTAGGAGATCCAAACGGTAATAGGAGGTAATAGGAGTGTTGAGGTGCCCGATCGCCTGAGGGAGGTCCCTAAGAGTGCCTTGTTTTCACCTTGTTCTCTGCTCTGAAGTCAGAAGAACAGATTGGGAAGCTAGGTTTATAATCCCCATGCTGGGGAGATGGAGACAGGTAGATGCCTGGGCTTGGCTCAGCCAGCCAGGCCAGCCAGGTGAGTAAGCCAGGTCCACTGAGAGACCCTGTCCCAAACACAGTTAGTTCAAGAGAGCTCAGTGCTCCATCAAAGGGCCGGGCTTGTACCCCAACACCCTCATTGCAGCAGCTCACAAACACCTTTAACTCCAGCTCCAAGGCATTCAGCACTGCTCACTTGCACACACACACACACACACACACACACACACACACGCACACACACACTCTGTGTGGGTGTGGCAACCCTAGCCTCATCTTTTCTCTCTGTCTTTAACAGAGATGCTCAAGGATAAGAACAAGCCTGTGACAGCTGCCCATGCCAAAGGCCCACGAGGCCGAAAGAAGAGGAATGGAGAGGTGGAGGAGACTGCTGAGCCTGAGCTGGAAGCGTCTAGTTTGGAGACATGCAAGGACCTCCTGAGGGCCACACTGACTCACTGGGGGCCGGTTGTGACCATCCCTGGACCCACTCAGGAGTCTGTGGGCCAGGCTAGCCCCGGAAGTAAAACACTGGACTCTACACATGCTGCTCTTTCCTTGGTGGCCAGCTGGGTGCTGAGGTCATTGGCTGAGCGCCCCCTGGGCAGAGCAGAGGCCACAAGACTCCTTGACTGGCTCAAGGGCCACGTTTTGCCATGCCCAGCGGTGGTGGCTGACCTTCTCAGGGACAGTGCTGTGAAGAGTGGCATCTTTAGGCTGTATGGTCGCCACTGCAGCGCCCAGGGCCTGGCGGAGCCTGCACAGGATGTGGCCTGCGAGTTCAGCTCCGTCATGCTGCAGTTGTTGGTAGCCCAGGGCCGGACAGACAGCCCTTTCCATCCAGCAGTGGAGGCCCTGTGCCTTGACTGTCTGAATGAAAAAGATGAAGCCAAACGAGGTAATGTGGGCTCTTGGTCAGAACTAGAGAAATGCGTGGGCTGGGAGAGGATGGGTTAGAAAGTTCTTTAACTTGGTACTCTGATTTCTAGCTGGGTCCTCACCGAGACTGGGAGTTACAAAGAGTGAATATAAAGGGAGTGCAGGTCTTCCTCATCAGCGACAATCATGTTTATGATGACAGCACCCCTTCAGCACCTTAGGGACACTCCATCCTACAGAGCAGAGGGTGTTTTGACCATAAGTCACCCAAGCAGAACACTGCTGTGTTGCACAATGACCACATGGATATACCCACGTGAGCACACACCCACACATGCTTGGATGCCAGAGTGAGTGGATGAGTGACCTGCTCTGTGGCGGCTGTGAGATGCAGTGGCTGCTCTGTCCTCCATCTGGGAGAATGGAGAGGACAGCAGGCTGAGCTGTGGCCTGAGAGCAGAAGGAGCAGAGTGAACCTCACCTTTTCCTAAACATGCCCTGGGAGATGATAAATGCCGAGTCAGTGATGGTGCTGGCGTGAGGCCTCTGACCTTATTGGGACTAGGAGTAAGTTCTTTTTTAAGGTCGATACACAATCATCAGAAGAAAGTCAGCTGAAAGGATCAGAAAGGGCAGCACAAGAGGAAATTCATTGTCTATCCATGTGCTCACTTGTGCTCCCCAAGTTTGGCGTAGTGGATCTGGCAGCTGTCCAAAGCCCTCTGCGCTGTGGGTGGGCGGTTTGTTCCCGTCTGAGCAAGTGCAATCCTCATGGCCTCGTCCATCTCTCCCCAGCTCCCGCAGCGTTCCTGGTGTCGCTGTACGTTAAGGACGTCTGGCTGGGGGCCCAGCAGCCAGACACCTTCCTCCATCATGTCAGAATGGTCTGTGACGCCGCAGAGGACGGGCCACATGGTGAAGCGGAGGCCATTGTCCTGCTGTGCAGGAACATTGACTCCTTGACCCAGACGCCTGACTCACCCCTGCCCGCCAGCGCCCCTGCAGGGTCCAGGAGGCTTAGGGCAAGGTTTCCGGGAGGTGTGAACTGATACATTCAACTGTTTTCCAGCAAGAAAAGTGAAGAGGCCTTAACTGACCATCACGAGGCTCGGGTGTTGACCTTACAGTCAGAGTTGAAGTGACTGGGACACTGGCAGGCCATGAGGCCCATGGCGGTTCGGATGGCTCCACCCCGAGTCCCGGAGTCCCCGGCAGAGGACGCTCCCTAAGTGTGCTGGGAAGGAGAATTCATGGTGTGAAAGCTGACATGTGAAAACTCAGGTCTGTGGACGACAGATGTTTAAAGTCGTCTCTGTGAGAAGTCGTAGGAGTAGCTTCAGTGACCACGGGGACGAGCTCCTGTCTGTGTTTGCTGTTTAAGTATGTTGTACTACACCCTAAGGTAAATGCCTTCACCTCTACTTTGGGGAGACCGTCTATTTTTCTAAGTTATATTTCAAAGAGGATTTTGAGTTTTATAATGTTTTGATAATAAATAGCTATTTTTGTGAGTCGCTTTGTACTTTGCTTTCATTTTACAAACTTTTTATTTCAGAGACCTGCATTTTATGTCAGAATTGAACTTTCATGGTTCACTGTTAGTAGGTGTTGTCTCTGGTAGAGGTCAGTGTGAAATTGCATAGATTTTGCAGATGAAATACTCTCTACACTGGTCCCTTGTGTTTGAGCTGGTGATTTAGTTTGTCGTGTGTGGTGTACGTAGTACTGAGTGGCTTGGTTTCGACTTCAGTGTTTGCACTTTTATGTGCACCTGTGTGTCGTCCTGTTACACAGACAGGCTCGTGTAAGGACAGGGGCCGTTTACCTTTAATGGCAGGGAACGGACAAAAGCTTGAGGACACTGACGTGGAAAGTGCCGTTGGATCGCGGTTTATTGACACCGTCCCGCTTATGGTACCTGTACCTGGCATACACAGGGACCAGTGGCTGGAAAGACAGGATCTGGGGCGTGTCCCTATAACCCAGGCCTCTGAAAGGCCACCAGACCTCAGCAAGTTTCCACAGCTCATCACAAGCTCCAGTCCTCAGCCGTCCCCTAGATTCACGGGTCGCAGTGGCTGGGTGGGGTTTGATTGCTCCTGTGAGGTGAGCTCACATGCAGTCTGATGGTACCAGCCTCCTCTATCTTGACCCTGGATAGGAGCTGGTGAGAGGTCATGGGTCATGCTCCCTCCCTTCCCGTCTCCTGGCAGTCTGTGGCCAGTGCAGAGCAGAGACAGGAAGTAGATGCTGCCTTAGGTGGTGACTAAGGAGCTCGCCTGCTCTCTCCGTCTGTTTAGATTCACCTCCCCCAAGCCTGGTGAGACCATGCCTGGCCCTCACCCTGTGGAGAGTGGGTCCCACATGACCTTCCACAGCTGGCATGGGGTTACACAGCCAGCCTTCTAGACCCACAGTCCACAGCTGTGATACGAAATGGCTTGCCTCTGTACTGATGTCGAGACTCGCCGTGCACAGGATGGAGGGCATCCGGAGATGGTTAAAGCGTGCCAGAAGTGATGCTCAGCAGGCCGGCCGTGTGCAAACGCGACCGTTTTACACAAGAGGTTTGCTCACCGTGGTTTTGGCATGGCCCCACCCCGGTCAGTACCTAGAAGCTGCCTTAGCATGAAGGCTGTGGTGGAAAGGGAAAAGCATCATTTAAGAACAGAGCCTTCCAGCTCCTGGCTGTGCTAGCAGCTACATCTGCCGGTTTTCTGGGCCTTGTGCTATCCCAGTTCAACCAGGGCTGTCGGCACCAGACACCTAGTTGTTCGGGGCTCTCAGAGCCACGGTCCCGTAAAGCGGCGTCTACAATGGGAAGCTCCTTGCTAGCTTGGAGAAGTCAGCATTCTGGGACCGTGCTGGGGGCTGGCTGGCTCCGCTGGATTCCGGCCCTGCTTCTGACAAGCTCCTTGGGCTCTGTCTTGAAAGGCTGTGGGGAAGAGAGAGTGTGGTCCAGCTGAGCTGGCCTGGGAGGGCACACACTGTTGTATCTGGGGGATCTCTCAGTGTCAGTGGAGGGCACAGGGAAGTCTGCAGGCTTCCCCGGCATCCTCACAAGAACCTGTGTGCCAGGTATGTTCAGGCAGAAGGAATGATGGAGGCAATTATCCTGATTTATGTTTTATTTTCCTACGCATCCCAAAGCAAATGCAAGCAGCAAGCAGATTAACATATTCAACAGAATCAGCTGTGTCGGGGCAGCTTCTGCATGGTAGCCGGACTGTGAACGTGTGTGATGGTCCTCCCCGGACTGTGAACGTGAGTGATGGTCCTCCCTGTAGACTTGGCTGTGACCTGGTCAGGTTCTTGCTCCACTGTAAATGGTCCATGTTGATTTGAGTGTATCAGTTTGTCAGTTCCACAGTTGAGAAGTTCTGTCTCGGGGCTCACCACTACACCCCCTTGCTTGTGCCTGAGGTCAGCTGATGCCCTGGGAAGCCCCATCCCAAGCCTGGTTCCAGGGCCGAGGCAGAGGGACTCTGCTGCTGTAACCATTGCTCAGAGCCAGTTCTGCTTCCTGGTTCCTCTGTTGTCTGCGGGGAGGCCCTCCTGGGGCAGAAGGGGAGGTCGAGGCTGTGACTCCATGGGCATATCCGATGGGGCTGGGGCCTGTGTCTGTGGGCAGAGCAAACAGAGGCGAACATCAAAGGGACTGGCTAGGGAAGAGTCCGTGGCTGGAGGGCCCCCTCCCCCCCCCCCATGCTTGCCCTGCGCCCCGGGAACCAGGCCTGGAGTCCTTCCTTCAGTGACGTTCCTCTGTATCATCTCCTCTCTCACACGGTCTACACAGACCCCAGTCAGCTCCTGATGGCCACACTGACTGTGTCGTTAACTAGGAAGCCTGTCTTCTGGGTTTCCAGGCCACGGAAGTGCTGGGGACAGGGAACATGACTGCCTGGCATAAACCTTGACCGCTGCTTCCGCCTGTGTTGGACTTTATTCCCAAAATGGGATGAACCTGCCTCGTAAGTGGCATCGGGGTGAGCAGGGGCCAGGGACCAGCTAAGCTGGAGAACCATCCTCCATGTGGCTCCAGCGCTACAAGATGAAGGCACCGGATGAGGGCTCAAAGCCCTTCTCTTCGGGTGCCTCGGGAGCAATAGGAGCCTTTTGTTTCCTGTCTGCCCCCTCCCCTCCCCCATCTCTGCAGGGGTGGGGAGGGTCCTCACACAGTGTCTCGGTGACCTTTTTAGATTTCTAAAAAAAAGGAAATTGTGTTTATGTGGGTGTCAGAGTGAGTGTATGCCACCCAAAGAGGCCAGCAGAGGACGCCGGATCCCTGGAGTTGGATATCAGGCAGTTGTAAACAGTCGTGAGTGCTGGCCACCCAACTTGGTTCTCTAGAAGAACAGCAAGTGCTCTTAACTGCTAAGCAGTGGGCCACTAGGTGGTCTCGCTGAGAACACCACAGGCTGTACTCACAAACTTGTGGGACTGCTACTCTATGTATAGATCGTTATTGTTAGGCCATGCTTAGCACGAGTGGGTGCCATCCCGTTGGGCGACTACCATTTCACATCTGCATTTGTCCAAACGACCGCCTCCCGGCTTACCTCATCTGCGGGGAGCCTGACCAGGACATGTAGAGCAGAATCAGGAAGAGGAGCACCACAAAAGTTGCCAGGCTCACCCAAAAGGCGATGACGATGGAATCTGCAGGAAGGAACAGAATCGGCTGCGTCAGCCCGACAGCAGAACCGTCCTCAGTGAGAAGTCAGGAGACCTGGCATTCCAGAGCCAGTGCCTCAGTGGTCTCTTCTAGCTGTTGGCTGGGAAGGTTTCCCGGAACAGCCGCAGAAAGAAAGGGAAGTGTGCGCGTGCGTGGCTTTTCCTCAGTTTAGGGTGATGTCGCTTGATGGCAGACTGAACAGAATCTGGGGATCCCCACAAGCCTTCTCCAGCTGCCCTGTTGCTCGGAGGAAGAATCCTGAGTAGTGACTTTGTGACTTCCTTTTCTCACTGAGTGCAGCTCGGTGTAACAAGGACCCCCTGGGAGCCCTGGTGACAGGCCCCAGAAGGATCAGCTTCAGGGACTCCATTCTCAGAAACCCAGGAGAACTGCACAGGGCCGGTGGGTCCTGTTGGAGGTCAAGGCCCCTACCCCTGTGGAGAAGTGGACTGAGGCCAGGGACAGGGGTGTAACTGGCTAGTGACCCTCTCCCAGGCATTGTTGTAGCCAGCACCATGGCCAGATGTGTGGCTCTGGGTAAGTGGAAACCAGGAAACATGCTTAGGCTCCTCCATCCCTGTGCAGAACCTGGCAGGTCGGGAGGGTTTGTCTCTGAGGCTCCTGGTCAGTATCATGTGACAGGTAGCTGGGGGACTATGGTGGCTTTGGGGTGGTTACCTATGGCTATGAGAACTACAGGGTAGCCTCAGGACAAGATGGTCAAGCTGGGAGAATCGATACACCCCTCAAGGTGTGACAGAAAGAGACTGTTGAAGGATCGTATGGTGGTTTGAATGAAAGTGACCCCCATAGGCTCACAGGGAGCGGTACTGTTAGGAGGTGTGTTCTTGTTGGAGTAGGTGTGGCCTTGTTGGAGGAAGTGTGTCACTGGGGATAGACTTTGAGGTTTCAGATGCTCAAGCGAGGCCCAGGGACTCTCTCTGCCTGCTGCCTACAGATCCAGATGTAGAACTCTCGGCTCCTTCTCCAGCACCATGTCTGCCTGCATGCCGCCATGCTCCCTGCCGTGACAATAACGGACTGAACCTCTGAACCTGTAAACAAGTCCCAGTTAAATGTTTTTATAAGAGCTGCTGTGGTCATGGTGTCTCTTCACAGCGATAGAAACCCTAAGACGGTCTGTAACCCAACAAGTACTTACTGAGCACACTGAGCCCTGCAGGGCAACCTTCTGTTAGTGTGAACTGTACTGCTCCACAGCTGTGAAAGCTGACACAAAGGGCCCATGTGTCATATTATCATATCATATAAAAAATGAGCAACCAACCAAAGAAGTGATTGTGGCGCGAGGAGTGTGTAAGTCATGGAGATGGAAGTGGGGGGCTCTGGCTGTAAATGGCACCCCTGCTTTTCAGGCTCTCCTGCCCCCAGAGGGTACCAACGTCCTCAGATGCTCATGTCCATTATGGAAGCCCACATTGTATATCTGCACAAGACTACCACAACTTGAATCATCTCCAGATGACTCTGTTCAACATGACTGCATACAGACAGCTGCTGTCTTCAGAGGGGATAAGGACAAGGGAAGGGTCTGTCCACTTTTAATACATACCCAATTTTTTAAAAATAATTTCAGTCTGTGGATATATAGCGCTGGCCATATTTGAAAAGTGTCATCTCTGCTTCCTATGACTCAGACAGGTTAAAAAAAAAATTGTAAAAGTGGACCTTGTGTAGGGAAAAGGGGCCAGCCCGGAACCCAGAACCTAAGAAACATGCCTTGACCCTGAAACCAGTACCAAAGAAACACATTTTGTCCCTAGAATCAAAGCCAGTGAAAGAAACAAGCCCTGGCCCTAAAACTTGAGCCAAAAGGCTAAAAAGGACCAGTGAAAGAAACACAGTTTGACTCTGAAATCAGAGCCATCTCTGCCCCGACCAACGAAACTAACCAATCCCTGAGCAGAGAATCTCCCTGGAGAAACTCTGCCCCCCAAAAGCCCTATATAAGTCCCCCTGCCTGTTCAGTTGTACACGGTGCTTTCCCACCCCGGCAGAGGCAGCCGCTCTCCCGGACTCCTCCTTCCCAAATAAATCTCTTTCTCAAGAGTCTTGGGTGAAGATCTTCATTCTGAGACATTCCTTAGGGAGACGGAGCAGAAAAAAACTTGCTGAGACTAGGGGTGCTGAGCAAGGCTGAGCAGAACAAAGTAACAACTTTTCGCTGGAGGAGAGTGCTACATTTCTGCAGGGGTTTCCCCTTGAGCAGAGTGAAGCAGACCAGCAACATCTTGGGCCAGAGAGAAGAACCAGAGCTCTGCTGGGAAACCCCCTTAAGTGGGGGCAGAGCAAAGCTCAGCTGTAAGGGCTCTCTCTAGGAGAGGAACAGAATTGCTATACCCTGCGGGGTGACCATCTCCCACTGCACCCCAGCTTCAGGTATCACCTGTCTTCCTTCCCTCCAGGGCTGAGCGGTCCTACTGCAGCTCCAGCCTCCAGAGCGGTCCTATTGCAGCTCCAGGTATAGCTTGGCTTCCCGATGAGTCGGGATACCTCTCCCTCCAGAGCTATAACACTCATGCCCTGGACCCTAACAGTTAATGTCAAAAATGGGGCTTAGGACTCAGCTGGTAAAGAGCCTATGGCACAAGCAGGAAGACCTGAGGTCAGATCCCAGACATGCATGGAAAAACCAATCCTGGGGATTAGGGGGTGAAAACAAGTTTATCCCCGAGATCACCGGCTGGCAGTCCAGGCCAACTGATGAGCTGCTGAGCTTCAAGGGTTAGTGAGTGACCCTATCTCAACAGATTAGGTGCCAAGCAATTGAGGAAAGACACCCAACATTGAACTCTGGTTACACGGGTATATGCGCACTTGCACACTGTACTACACTGCAGGCATGCGCGCACGCACGCACGTGCACACACACACACACACACACACACACACACACACACACACACACACACACAGCAGAAAAGATGCTATGCTTGTAGAAGGAACACAAGCTCCTGCCTTGTAATCTATCAGCCCTTTACAGCATTTACACTCCAGGGAGGCAAGGACAGCTCTTGCATCCTCTCCCTTTTCTGCCCCTAAGCTAAGAAACAGTCAACAGTTTAAGGGGATCTCTGGGCTCCCGGGAAGTGGGAGATGAGGTCATAGTGGATGTCCTAAGCAGAAACATGTCAAGTCCAAAGGAAACTCCAATTCCCCAAACCCCAAAAGGCAAGTCCAAATATTGAGAAATGAGCTCAACCTGACCATAGGAGGATTTCTGGCAGTTAGATAAAAGCCAGCATTCCTCTGGAACTGGTGAAACTAGTTCCCATCTGCCAACAGGAGTCATTTCCCTTTCCTCGGGCAGGAGGAACAAATGGCTGCCTGTGGTGCCTATCAGCATATCAACGCTGTGCTGGCCCCCGGGTCATTTCCAAATCCATGCCAGGACCCCAGCCCTCCTCACCTCCTCCCCTACCCTAGACTCCCTCCAGCACACGGGCTTCTTTCCCCCAGCTACTCATTCTCCTTATGGCCCAGCTATTCCCGCTTGTTCTCTTTCTGCTCCTGCCTCTCACTGTGTTTTCTCAGTTCTCTATTCCCAGCTGCTCTCCCCTCTTGAAGATAACCCTGGTCACATCCAGTCTGCTGGCCATTCATCTACTTATTTCTCTCTCTGCTCTGGACTCTTCCAAATGCCTCTGGCTGTTCTCTCTCTCTCTCTCTCTCTCTCTCTCTCTCTCTCTCTCCTCTCTAATATCTACACTAAAAACCTTCTCCTTATCCACACTATGGTTAGTTTATACAGAACCCTTTCAAAAGACCCCTCTGGCTTTCTCAGCATGCCTTGTTACATGCCCATACTCCCAGAGAGTTACAATTTGCTTCATAATCTTCCAGGTATGAGCATATGCTTTCTGAAACTTTCATTTGGGATTTTCTTCTGGATGGGTATTTCTGATTTCTGTGGACATTAATGCTCTCTTTTCCTCTTCATAAAAATGATGAAAAGTTTGAGGTCCGTAGGTCCTTGTAAGTTCACAGGAAGCACTTAGTAGACAAGAGTCTCATTCCTCTCAACCATCTGCCAGAACCCTGGTCATTATCCCTAATACCAAGCAGGAAATGAGACGACCCCCTGCCTGGAATTCATTACCTATGACAAGTGAAATTTAAATTTTGTCAGACCAAAATAAGGATGAGTAGCCACTAGTCAATTCCCATGCTAAATTCACTCTTGTGTTCCTTTGAAATAGAAAGCCAAGAAAAATAGTAGTTTCTTCCCCTTCTGTTGAAAGTTCATCTTGAGTGCTCACGGAGAACATTTTGTTCCAAAGGCAAGAACCGTCATCCCCCAGCATCTGAAAGATTCTCACACCCGAGGGCTTGTTTTTGCAAAGAACCCCTGGCTGGGCTGAGAATGAAACCAGTTCATATATGGAGAGCCCCCAGCTTCCTCTCCCTGCCTGCCTGCCTGTTCTTTTCTCCTCCATCCCTCTTTCCCTCCTCCCGCTCTGCCCCGCCCCCCCTCCCTCAGTTCCCTCCTCTCTTCCGCCCTCCTTCCTCTCTTCCCTTTCCCGGTTCACACTATGGACTGTGAAGAATCGAACACCAACAGAGGATTCACCGGATTCTGAACCATGTGCAGCACTGCATGCTGTAGTCCCGGCTACTTGGGAACTGAGTCAGGACTTCTGGAGTTCAGACGTTCAGGACCGGCCTGGCCCACATAGCAAGACCCCACTTCTAAGGCAAATTGCAGCAAGCACGGATGGGCTCCACCTTACATTATAGGACTCCCCTGACTACCCTGAGTGTGTCAGTCAGCTGCACAACACCGTGACAAGATCCCTGAAGCGCACGCACCGCTTAAAAGGGACACGGTCTATTTGGTCACGGTTTTTAGAGACTTGAGTCTGTGGTTGCCCAGTGTGTCACTTTGGTGCTTTGGTGAGGCTGGGGGCCATGGTGCAGAGCCTGTGATGAATAAGACTGCTCACATCACGGCAACTGGGGAGCAAAAGGGGAGAGTCCAGGACCCCAGTATTCTCATCAAGGACATACTGCCAATGACCTCACTTCCTTCCGCTAGGCCCCACCTCTTAATGGGTCCGTTACTTCTCAACCACTCCTCAGGCCTTGACTGGGCCTTTAGCGTGATTGTAGGAGTTAATTAAACCGCCCCAGGGAAGGTGCTTCAGTGTATGAGCAAGAGTGAGTAAACGCCAGTGTTTGTCTGATGTCACCACATTCCAGGTTCCAGGTAGGAATCGGCTTCAGTTCTTGCTGCTGTTGTTCCTTATTTGTTTCTCTTTGTTGGGGAATAACAAAACGGTAAGATCCCAGGCAGATTGCTTTCAATTTCACATTTTGACCTTTTCATTTCCTATTTATGATCTTGGTCAATCTGACATTTTCTTATATCTCTAAATCTTGTCTCCAACAGTACCTATTAAGTATTCAGGTGACTGAATAAAATAAATGTCCCTGGTATAGTTTCTCATTCAGTGCCTACGATTTCTAAGGAGAACTAAGATCCTTGTTTTTGTCAAGGGTTTTATGGCCAATGATGCAATATCACATTGTCCTCTGACCTCACTAAAATGTGAGGTCTGAATAGAGGTAGCTATGGCACAGAGTGCTGGTTATCAATCCTAGGGTCTGTTCTCTACCCCTGTTTCGTCTGGGTTCATGGCTACCTGGGATAGAAAACTGCATTTCCCAGCTTCCTTTTCAGCCAGGTTCTATCTAGTGGGGTATGAGGAGAACTGGCCCTGGAGTCTTCCTCCAGCCACAGCTGGACTTCCTGAACCCTGCATCCTTCCTTATTCCCTTTCTCCATTTTTCTGCCTGGCTGTGGATGGTGAAGTCATCAGCAGAGCATGGAGCTGAGTGACATGTCTCAGGAAAGCTAGAGGGGTGAGTCCCACGTCATCTAGTGCCTGAGGATTTCATGGGGCCACCTCACCACCCTCCCCTGGCTGGGCCCTGTGTAGGAGAGCCATCAACTTGTGTTGCCTCTCTTCTCCTGTGAGTTGCCGTCAGTGGTCCTTTACTGCGGCTTTCTCGTGGACCACACCAGAACAACAAGGACAAATCCAAATGAAAGCTACCACAGAGAGATTTTCCCAAAGTTTATCCATTAATCAAATGCTCACAGCCCTCCTCTAACTAGTTCCCAGAAACAAATCACTGTACCCGAAGTTATCCTGTTCCTGCCTGCCTCCTGCTGCCCTCAGGCCCAAGCAAACACAGAGACTTATATTATTTATAAACTGTATGGCCTAAGGGCTCAGGCTTCTTGCTAGCTGTTCTTGTATCTTAAATGAACCCATTTCTATTAATCTGTAAGTTGCCATGTGGCTCGTGGCTTGCCGGCATCTTAACATGTTGCTTCTCATCACGGTGGCTGGCAGCTTCTCCCTGCCTCAGCCTTCCACTTCCCAGAATTCTCCTCTCTGTCCAGCCTATACTGCCTGCCTGGCCAATCAGCATTTTATTTATCAATCAATCATAGCAACAAATCACTCTGAAAACTTGCACATCATTTCTCTCCAAAGATGTTTCAGAAAATGGGCTGTGGTTGTCTAAATCAGTTTCAAATCAAAGGGCTCCAGTAACAGAATCATTCAAGTGTCATGCCTCGCAAGGACATTTGATGAGAGTTTATTCCAAAGCAAACATTGTGACATCTTTCTTTAAATGTCATTTTTAGGATTTATGTTACGTGCAGGGGACATTGAAATTTGCTGAGGACATTGAAATCCTGGGGAAAGTCTGAAACTGATGCTCCTCCTGTGAGAGAAGAGTCATATGCAGCCCTTTGTTTTATGTGTCCATTGAGCCCCCTGGTGTTTTCGGAAGAGTTTGATTAATGGTGTGTTTCTGCTCTCCCTCCCTGAGCTCTTGGAGAAGCCGGTGAATAGACAGCATTCTCCCTTCCATATGGAAATTATTCCATCCCTTTGAGGAATTCCATTTATAGTGCGGGAAGTATCGACAGAACCCAAGACTTCTTATGGAGCAGGCAGAGGCAGGTCCCCCGCCGAGAGCACGGTTCCAGGGCTGTGCCTGTGTGCTCATCACCTTGGCTGACTTTTGACCTTGACTGAATAGCTGGATGGATCAGGGAAGAACGTCCACAAAGTGCCAAGTTGCTCAAGAGATGAATGAAAGCAGATGAGAAACGGATGTTAACTCCTGCCTGTCCTCTGAGACTAGGAACGCCGAACAGCTGTTGGCAATTTAGCAGAGATTATGCCATCCATCTTAGAGGTGGCGGGAATACATCTCCCAGCTCTAAATATGGAGTTTGAAGAAACTCACCCAGCTTACTGGAGCCCCAAAACAAATGCAACTTCATCAAGAAATAGACCTTCAAAAGAGAAGTGGGGGGGGGGGGGCGTGTAGCCAAGAGCTGGAGGGGCTTAACTCAATCCCCAGCATCTCAGGGTGAGAGAAAAAAAGGGCACGGAAGTAGGAGGGGCAACTATTTGGGGAAAGAAGGGCCAGGGGAAGGAATCCGGCATGAGGGAGGGTAACAGGGCTGAATATGATCAAAGTCCGCAGCTGGTCATGGTAATGCACATCTGTAGTCCCAGCACTTGAGTGACTGAGGCAGGAGGATTTCTGTGAGTCTGAGCAAAGTCTGTGCTATATAAGGAGTACCAACAGAGCCAAAGCTAAATAAGATGCCATCTCAAAGAAACAAAAATTAAAAAAAAATTACACTCTCTACATGTATGAAACCTTTACAACAAAACCCACTATTTTGTACAATTAATATTCACTAAGAAAAGGAACGGAAAAATAAAGCGTGGACGTAAGTATGTGTATGTGCGCATGTGCATTTGTCTTAAAAGAACATTCTGCTGGGTTAGCAAGACAGAGGGTTAAAAGGCGCTTGATGCCAAGCTTGACAACTGGGTTTCCGTGCTAGGGACCCATGTGGCGGAGAGAGACAACTTCCCCAAGTTGTCCTCTGGCCTTCCCAGATGCACCGTGGCACCCCCGCCCCCTAAATGAATACATGTGCATTTTTTAAAGGAACATTCTGCTTAGTTGATAGCAAGCTAATTCATAAACTTACTACTGAAAGTTATAGGTACAGTCTGAATCCCATGCCTGCTTCATTTCCATCTGTGTGTGCAATGTTATTGCTGCCGGGTGAGTCTTTTGGAGTTAGAAAGTAAAGACAAGACCAGGAACGCCGCATCTGGGACCCAGCCTCTGCCTGGCCGCCTTCCCAGGTTCCGACTTACGCTTGTTGGCTCTCAGCTTCTTTTCATCCACAGGAATGAGGTCCAAGTAATCCAGGTAATATTCATAGCTGGTGTACGGGACGGAGGCGTTGGTCCTGTTGGCCATGACTGTGGCTGTGGAGGCCGGTGTCTGCCAGAGCCTCACATCCGGAGCTGGGCTGTGTGTGGGCCCCAGGGACGACATTGCTTAACTCATTTCTGTCAGAGTCACTGTCAGAGTCACCCAGGCTCATCTGCGGGTCTCCAGACAAGGGGCCTGCTTATCATAGCCTCGCTGGAAGGTCAGGGGGCTGTTCCCGTGAACAGCCTCTGAATCCTGCCTCTCCTGGAAAAAACTACCGCAGCAGGAAAAGCCGGCTGCTAGAGTCACGGCTTCCCATTCGGCTCGAGCTTGCCTCTCCGTGGAAGGCCTGGGAAGTGGGCAAGAAATCAGATGCCAGAAGCAGAAAATGAATAGCGGAGCTGGGTAGAGCCATCTTTTTTTTTTTTTTTTTTGCCTCTGATACATGAAAAGTTAATAAAACTGCAGGAAAGCCTGGCCGTGCCCTTGACACACACTGGGGCAGTTCTCGGTATTATGAAGCAACCAGCCGACCTCTGACTTGGATTCTGAAGGCAGGCCCTGTACTTGCAACCTCTGTCCTGTGCACAACCAGTTAACTAAAACGGAGAATCCCACTACCCGGCTGAATGCACCCCCAGCTTTTGCTCAAGCCCCCGGGAGCCAGCTGGGTGGTGGCCAGCTGCATTTGTTCAGACCCAAGAGGCGGTGGATCTGGGTCAGCGTCCCACAGGACTGAGCTCTTGGGAAATAAGGCACACGGGTCTGCACAGCTCTTAGCGGACACAGTGTAAGGAGGAATCCAGGCTTCTGGGGGGCCTGCCCTAAGTTAAGCACACACTCGTTCCCAAGGTCTCTAGACACTACCCTGAAAGACTGTGAGGAATCCTGGAATGAGCAGCTGATGCGTGAGGCCCCTTGGGATTTTGCCTTTGGGAGTATGCACCGATCCTGGTCTTTTCATCTGTCCTACTTGTTTCTAAGTCTCCAGTGGCGGGTGTCAAGAGGTACACCCCAGACAGCCTGGGCCCTGCCCGTTCTGACCCTGCTGTGCCAAGGCAGGCATTCTGCTGGGAGCTCTAGAAGCAGGGGAGGTTGTGCTTGGATTTCCAAAGCAGAGAGGCGATGATTCCCTGGAAGAACAGGGGACCTCGTGTTTCCTCTTCTGCTTTTACCTCTCAGCGGGACTGCAGGGTTTTCATACCAAGCAAGTTCCCGCCGTCTGTGTTATAATTGAGCCCAGTCTGACAGTACCTGTGCAAGGTTGGCAGACCCCCCAGGTTATGGGCCCAGGGTCAGTCACCTGCCTCTCCCCACTTCAGCTGTGATCCTGAACCCCAGGTTGTCACCTCAGTTCTGACCCACTGGCTGGACACTGAAGGGTTTAACAAGCCCCTCCCCTGGTTCCCAGGACTCCGGCTCATCATAAAAGGATACAACTCAGGTCTAGTCAGACAGGAGCCATAGATGTCAAACCAGGCCTGGTGTGCACGTTGCAGAGTGTGACAATCATTGAAAGTGGTTTTTACAACACAGCATCTTTTTGTGAGGCAAAGATGGAGGACACAGAAGCCCCAAGTCTGCTGTGGGATGGCCTTCTGTATGCTGTGAATAGTATTACTCCCATTGGTTAATAAAACGCTGACAGGCCTGTAGCTGGGCAGGAAGTTAGGCAGGAAAGCCAAACTGAGAATGATGGGAAGAAGGAGGGGGGAGTCAGGAGAGACACCAGCCAGCCAGTCACCCAAGGAACATGATGCCAGAGAGAACTAGTAAGCCACGGACCATGTGGCAATAAATAGGTAAATAGAAATGGGTTAATTTAAATGTAAGAGCTAGTTAGTGATAAGCCCAAGTCATCAGCCTAACAATTATAATTAATATAAGCCTCTGAGTGATTATTTGGAAACAGCTGCAGGACAAGGCAGGACAGAGAAAAGCCTTCCGTTTACACAAGTCTCAATTCTGTAACCCGAGGATGGAGACAGGGGGACATTTATGGTGTAAAGAAGCAGGCTGGCCTGAGAATGGGGAAAAGATGATGGGAGGTAAGGAGTGATGAAATGATGGGGTGATGGAGTGATGGGGTGATGGGGTGATGGAGTGATGGAGTGATGGAATGATGGAGTGATGGGGTGATGGAGTGATGGGGTGATGGAGTGATGGGGTGATGGGGTGATGGAGTGATGGAGTGATGGAATGATGGAGTGATGGGGTGATGGAGTGATGGGGTGATAGAGTGATGGGGTGATGGGGTGATGGAGTGATGGGGTGATGGAGTGATGGGGTGATAGGGTGATGGGATGATGGAATGATGGGATGATGGGCTGATGGAGTGATAAAGTGAAGGAGTGATGGATTGATGGGGTGATGGAGTGGTGGGGTGATAGGGTGATGGGGTGATGGAGTGATGGGGTGATGAGGTGATGGAGTGATGGGGTGATGGAGTGATGGGGTGATGGGGTGATGGAGTGATGAGGTGATGGAGTGATGAGGTGATGGAGTGATGGGGTGATGAGGTGATGGAGTGATGAGGTGATGGAGTGATGGGGTGATGGAGTGATGGGGTGATGGGGTGATGGAGTGATGGGGTGATGGAGTGATAGGGTGATGGGGTGATGGGGTGATGGAGTGATGGAATGATGGAGTGATGGAATGATGGAGTGATGGGGTGATGGGGTGATGGGGTGATGGGGTGATGGAGTGATGGGGTGATGGAGTGATGGAATGATGGAGTGATGGGGTGATGGAGTGGTGGGGTGATAGGGTGATGGAGTGATGGAGTGATGGGGTGATGGGGTGATGGAGTGGTGGGGTGATAGGGTGATGGAGTGGTGGGGTGATAGGGTGATGGAATGATGGAGTGATGAGGTGAG